TATTTGTTTTTACCCTGTTCAATTCATCGTGTGCAATAAGCAGCAATGATGGATGACCCAGAGAGACTGTCTTTGTTATGTTTCCCTCTGTTTTAGTTCCAATCACTCACATGTGTGGAACTGAAATAACAAGTCAGCCCTAAAATATAAGGAGTGGAAAGAGATGTTTGTCTTCAGGCGTAGGAGGTAAAATGGAGTTATTAAAAGGATGAAGTTGATGGCTGAAATCTGTTGAGACACACAGCATCAGCGTTTCATGGCCCATCTGCAATGAAAGTGTTTGGTGTGTTTTGGTCTTCTCTTCATTATTAAATATCTTCTGATTATCACCTTTCTGTATTCCAATAGTGTTTCAGTCTGGTGTGTTTAATGTGTTCCTGTTCCACTTCCTGTTTTATTTTGGTACAGTTCTGTCTTGTGTATATTGCGTTCAGTCTTTATTGGTCCCCTGCCTCACTGCTTTGTCTACACCTGTGTTGATTTGCTCTTCATCTTTGCTGTGATGTCTGTTATCCGTCCACCTGTTTTCATCCCGTGTTACTTATTTATATTTATGAACTTTGCTTTCTTCTGCCTTCTTGGACTGGTGCTATGTCTCAATAAAGATTTGCCTTTTTAAAAAAACAAACAAACTGTGTCTGCGTTTGGGTCCAGGCATTAAGATGGGCCAAGACCGTCCTGGCCTTTTGCCAAACTGTTTCCAAGTTCAGTCTCATAGATGCATCTGAAGAACGATCAGATTCATGACGAGCATGTTTTCTACAGCCAAACGTGAGGCTAGGAAATGACTGAGAGTGAACCTTTACTTTCTTCTTGTCTACATGAAGCTACACGACCAGAGTTCTTGCAGCATTAGACCTGGAGGAAGATAATCCTTTATTATACTGGAGGTACTGAGAGTGATTTAACAGGAAGAAATATAAAAACAAATATCCTCTCATTCAGATGTTGTGCTCAGCAGAGACCACACCATCCCTGACAGCATGTCATGCCGGCAGGCACTGAGTTTGACAGTTAATTATTGGCTCATATTGTCAGTGACAGTGCCAAAATAATAATATGTTTTCTGTTGTCTTGCTGTCAAATAAATGAGTCCAAAAACGAGCAGATGTTAAATAAATTGCGTTTGTTTGAGTTCACTGAAGGTGGTTCTGATCCTGGCGTCTCTCTCTTTAGTTTGGATCACTGCCTTTTTGGATGATCAGACACATCCATCTGTAACTGAGAGGGAAACTCCTCACTGACTTCACTGTTTGTTTGAACACTTGCGAAGGTGAAAATCGGACTTTAAAAACAGCCTTTGTGCTTCAAGTACTCCGAGATTTCTGTTTTGTTCTGGTGTAAAATAGCAGGGAGCCAAAGGATGTCCTTTAAAGGTTACACTGGTGTTACTTGATATTTTCTCTTTAAACAATACAACACGAGTAGAAAAAAAACAACATTATTTCAGCTTGTTCTGATCTTCTGTCTGTTGCTCTCCTACCGACAGTGTGAACCTTAAAGCGCTGTTCTCAAATGGATAATTTTGTTTAGGTCTACAGATGTGGTTATTTCCAAGAATAAAACATGTTGTTCACTCTGTCGTGTGCATGTTAGCATGGTTACATATTTTAAATGACGCTGTGTGTGAAGAAAAAGGAAATGCACTCGGGACTCCCCAACGCTCTTTAGTGGCATCATTAGTGACGGCGGGTGCTGGCAGTGCTCTTTAAAGCGTCTTTATAGTGAAAGCAGGAAGATTGCATTTTACCACATGGCTATATTTAGAGTGAGCTAACAGTCTGAGACGGTCCCACCACCACTGGAGCCATTTTTGGCTAACCTCTGGAAGCTATTTTGGTGACTTGTCTTTTTCTACACCAATTAATTTGGAGTGTGACTTACTGGCATGACATGAAACAGCTTACAGTGCAGTATCCAATTCAGGGAAACACTGAACAGCATAATTGCACTTTATCAAAAGGGATGATGCTGTAAATACATATAGTAAAGCTCAAACCAGACTACTTTTTCCATTTTATTATTATTTTATTCTAAGATTTCTACACTATCTTCCACATTTTTACCTTTAAATCTTTTCATCTCATTATTTTGAACAGGGGTAAATTGAGTTATTATTATTATAACTGTGTCTCATTTCTAGAAACATGAAATGTCAACACACAAACGGGAGCAGGCTGTGAGGAGTTAAGCAGCTGTGGGCAGATAAAGGTCCGACCATGATTTCAGACTCTCTGTTGAGTTGGTGTTAAAGGGTTAAAAAAAGCTCTTTTGAAACATGGAGAGGAAACTGAGCAGAAACAACCCTTCTTTAGGAAAGGTGTGCTTTCTCATTAGCTCCACCACATCTAAGCGGTTACTCGTTGCTTGTGCATACTGAACTAAAATGAAGTTAATTGCTACCAATTGTGAAGGGAGCTGCACGCCTACTTCTTATTTGAGGCCAGCCATTTTAAAAAATATGAACAACTGGACTAGAAAAGACATTCAAGTCAACCCGACATGGCTGTTTTCAACCTTTGTTACTCACTCGTCTCTTCACAGAGTTAAAGAAATGTAGTATTAGTATTAAAGCTCAAATAATCAGGCCCCATTTTATCTTAATGACCTTATAGTACCATATCACCCTATTAGAGCACTTCGCTCTCACACTGCAGGCCTACTTGTTGATTCTAGAGTATTTAAAAGTAGAATGGGAGGGAGAGCCTTCAGTTTTCAGGCCCCTCTTCTGCGGAACCAGCTTCCAGTTTGTATTCAGGAGACAGACACTATCTCAGCTTTTAGGATTATGCTTCAAACTTTCCTTTTTGCTAAAGCATATAGTTAGGGCTGGACCAGGTGACCCTGAATCCTCCCTTAGTTATGCTGCAATACGTGTAGGCTGCCGGGGGATTCCCATAATACACTGTGTGTTTTTCTCACTATGTGTTAATAGACGTCTATGCACTGAATCATACTGTTATTAACCTCTGTCTCTCTTCCACAGCATGTCTTTTATCCTGTCTTCCCTCCCAGAGCCTGGTTCTGCTGGAATTTTCTTCCTGTTTAAAGGGAGTTTTTCCTTCCCACTGTTGCCAAAGTGCTTGCTCATAGGGGGTCATATGATTGTTGAGTTTTTCTCTGTACGTATTATTGTAGGGTCTACCTTACAATATAAAGTGCCTTTAGGTGACCCATTGTTGTGATTTGGCGCTGTATAAATAAAACTGAATTGAACTGAATTGATTGAAAGCTGAACCAGGCATTAATTAAAGACTTGTTGCAGTGGATGTGACTAAGGCTGAGGAGCTGTTCTGGGGGAATTCTGCCTTTTGCTATGACCACCTCACATGACCCTGATGTGGATAAGTGGTTGAGTGTACACATGTATGCTCAGTAGGACGGGTGCTGCAGAGTCTGACTCTCTTAAGGGGAAATATGGAAATGAAATGAGAAATGTAGAGAAAATTTCTAGCCTTACCAACCATTCAAGTCTCTGAATGGTTGCTCCATGTCACCACTTTATCTGCTTCAGACTCAGCAGTGAAGCTAATGTGCTACTGTGCATGTCTTTGGTCTGAGGGAGAATAAGGAGAAAATCACTGAAAATTCAGAAAATCACTGCCTTGACAAAACAGTGAAAGTTGATCTTATTCATGGACTGAAGCTGCTGCAGAAGCCTCCCACCCACCGCCCCCTGCTAAAGCTGCACGCACAGAGCTTTGTTTATCCTTTGGACAGATTATAGACAACTTCTTTTCTCGGTTTTGTTTTGTCATCACATTTACGGCAGTAAACTTTATCGCAACACTCCAATGTTTTATTACAGAGGAAACAAAGCCATAAAATGTTTAATTTTGTTCTCTCGCAGACTCACCTCGGGGTGTTGATCCAGACGATGCCAATGTGACAGAAAAAAATGCACTCTTTGTCTTTCTGGTTCTCGCAGGAGCAGCGTTTCTCTCGCCAGTGAGCCGTATGGGGGAGCTGCACTGGGGGGCCCTCCGCCAGCACAGAGCTCGAAACAGAGAGGGCTGGAACACACAGGCAGGGCAGGGTTATCGGCTATTATCAGCCTACTTGATCATCTACTCAAGTATGCAGCGATTCTGCTGCTTTGTCATGAGTGGATTGAAAGGGAGATGTTTGCATTAACTTGAGATTTGAGTTCAGAATTCAAATTTTTACTGCCAATTCTGTTTAGATCAATATTAATGAAGACGCCGTGTGAAGCAGCTTTATGAGACAGTTCTCATCTAAAGCTGGTGTTGAGGAGAGAAGCAATCATATTTTATCCACATGTCAGTCTCTTTGTCTCTTTTCTTTACATTTTTGCTGATGATGATCTGTTGTACCTCAAGGTGCAAACATACATTAAAAACTGCCTACACAGCACGTGAATTCCTACAGGTATGTACGTGTTTCAAATGCAAAGAGACGTGAAGCATCAACAAGAAGAGTGGGAATACTGTGGGATCCTGACACTGTGAGCTTGCATTTGCAATTTCCACTGATAATTTGCAAATGCCTAAAAATATATAAATTCTGTAGTCATTTTAACAGGACCCATTGGGCATTTCCAGTGCAAAAAAGCATACGCCCCCTAGTCTGAAATACGAGCATGTATTAAATAAGCATGGCCACTGGGACATGTCAGGAAAGTGTTTACTGGGGTCGTGTATCAACTGAGCAGTAGGGCCAGTTTCTCATAGACCTAAAGAAAAAATGGACATTGCATCCAACTTTCATTCCTATATACTTCCAGTTATTATATCCAGAAACTATAACGCCAGGGTTTGCTCGCATCACCAGCCCTGGGGCAAATTGGAAAACTGGTAAAACATGAGACTGAAAATATTGGTTTTAATATCTAGACTGTGTACAGATATTAATGTTTAAATTTGTATTGTGGTTTATTATTCATTTTATTTTCATTTGCTGCTAATAAGAAATGTCAACATAAATCAACAGGATACAAACAATGGATGGTGAAGACGGTAAACATTAAGAAAGTTCAGATACCCACCATGAGCAACTTCAAGAGCGGCTAGCATGGTGGTAGAGCTGACTGCAGGATTATAAGTTAATGCATCAACAAAGAGATCCAGCCTGTTGGGGCCATGAATGCCTTTTAGAAATTTCATGGCAATCAATCCAGTACCTGTAGAAATAGCTACTCTTAACCTAACTAGTTCACTCACTCACAGGTTTTCCTTGGGTGCACAACAAAGGAAAGTCTGTGTGCAGCTTTTACTTTGTTAAAGTCGGAAATTACTTTATTCACGTTTGTAGCCACAAGGTCTTCATCAACACCCCAGAAAAGCACATTCACAGCTACAGTCACATGACACCATGCCCTCCAACAGGCCTGGTGTGTTTCCGATAAGAGAGCCAGAGCCGTCTTGCCTCTGTTTTTGTCGCCGGAACGTCGGAACAACTCCCTGTTCCTTCCCACTTAACTTAACACAACTCCCTTAGCATGAATGACATGTAATATTGTACCTGAACACAGACTTACAAACACAAAGACACATGTTTAAAAGCACACGTACACACAGAGAGCCCATAAAGCAGGCAGAACCCACAGACGGCCTTTGATCTTGTTCTCGATGCGCATGGGAGAACGTTTAGGCGTCCAAGAGGGATTTACACGATTTACACGTGGGAGCAAAAAAACACCTTTTCTCACAATAAACTTAGGTGTAGCTCTGTTCTTCACCCGGCTAAGTCCCAGAGAATCACATTAGGTTTTTATTCATGCACATTTTCCAAAGAAAGCTCATAAAGGCTCACATTTCAACTAACCCCAGCCGTCATCAGCAGGATGAGCATTCTCAGACACACCAGTCAGTGGAGGCCCTTTTACTACAAACTGGCCAAGCACGGTGGTTACAATAAGCATCCCAGTAAAACACTTCTCAAGCAACATTTTCAAAATGCTTTTGGGGGATGCTGAGATTTATAATCTCTCCAGGATTTTCTGGGACTACCCGGAGGTAAACCAGCACGGAAAACCTCCAATAAAAGGCAACATTAAATGACTCTTTTTAAGTGGCAGATTCCAGATGCCAAAACTTCTTGCTCTGTATCTGAGACTGAGCCTAGCCCGCCTATGCTCAAATCTCATTTTGCGTCACATTTTTACCACATATGCATGCATTTTGCACTGATACAGAGCATTTTGTATATGCTGAGCAACAGGGTGCTGTTATGGAGGAGTGAGGAGGTTTTATTTAGGCAAGTACAGACTGGGAACCACACAAAGCTACCTGCTGCTGTTTGCAACGTCATATCAAAGTTATGTGTGTGTTTTTGCACACCTGAATGTTTCAGTGCCAGATGGACACATCTGTCAGCACAGCAGCTTTCTGCCAGACATCATTATGATATCAGACACGACACGATGAAGAGGATAATGGATCTCCTGTTCTGCTTTACTTCAGTGTTCGGATCTTATTTTTAACCCACGGTCTTTGTGGTAATGCCGAAGTATATTCTGAAAAGGATCTGTGATGACTTTCTTTAAGAGGAAACCTTCGGACTGATTTGAAACACTGAATGTGAAAAAAATGCCTTGACAAGAAAACTCTACAAAATGTAAAATGATTTTAATCCCAGCTTAGCTTCAACTTCCTAATAGCACTTCAGGTTTGATCCAGACTTCCTGACCTCACAGTGGGGTCGACACCACAGATGTCTCACATCACCTTACTGGTTGGTAGAAACTGAGCTGAGGTGTGATCAGTGGAGTTTCAGTCAAAGCAAGAATGTCAAATAAAAAACTGAATCTTTGTTTAAAGATAAAAACAACTGTTAATCTGACAGAAGAAAAATGACCTGTAAAGTGTCCTTCCTCTTTATGTAACTGAAGCTGGTGCAAGTACACCAGGAATTATATTTATTATTAGTTATTAGTCAAGGTAAAATAAAAAATCTCCAGGTCAGTTCTGCTTCGGCTAAAAGTTTTTGGGAAATTTCACGTCTCAGTGCTTCTGTATCTGGAGTTTGTCTTGCAGCATGAAGACACATTAAACAAACACATTTTCCAAACTGGTTTGCACAGTTACTTCTCGGACAGCCAAGTCCAACTCACCTGAACTGAGGGACTTTCTCAATACTGAGGTTTGAATCCATTTGGCATGGAGATTTCACACTTTTTATCCATGGTCCTCATATTTCCTCCTAAAAACCCACATGCTTGAGTGTGACCTTTACGTACTGTATATAGACGAGGTTAGACAAGCAGCTTAGAGGTTTCAATCCTGGCCTGCATGAGGAAACAGTCAAATAATGCTGCCTCTCAGATAACTTCAGAGATTTGTCAGGTTAAATCTCTGTCATCAAAACTAAATTCCTCAATAAAGACTTTCAACTGCTTGAAAGGCCACTCGTTTGCATCAAAAGATAATATGACACTAACCAGTTTCACATTTTGTGATATTGAATTATTATGTTCCTCTTTAGTCATTATTATTCATCTTTTCCGAGGCTGTGCCAGAGGATGACTGAGTGAGTGTTGCTTCCAAAATGTCACTTTAGAGCATTGATGTCGAGTCCAAAGGCCAGAAATATGCCAGAAAAAAAACAAACTGGCATCAACGTCGACCTTGCCTCTCTCAGTTTGAACACGTGGCACCCAGCTGTGCGGTGGCTCGAATTTCTCCATCATTGCTTTTATATTCTTTAACAGAATATATAATACGCATGTTTTATGTGTGTGTACAGCATCAGAGATTGCTGTACAGATGCAACCATCCTCGCTGGTTTGCATCTTTTGAACAGGGAGATGTCTCCATCGCTCATTTGTCCTGCCCTCTGATTAAGTTAAGACATCTAACTGAAGACGAAAGAAGCAGCTTGCTGTAATTACTGCAAAATCAGAGACATGGACACTGATTGAGCGGTCTGCAGAAAGGATAGAATAATACTAATAATGACAGAGTGCAGAGTGCAGATGTTTGCAGCACTGAGCGTATCACGAATCCTCAAGTTTGTTGGGGAAAAAAAAAGTGAACTTTTCAGTGCCATCACCTGTCGGCGCCTTTCGCTTCATCCTCACTAACGTTTTGATTTCAGGGCTGAGATCTGAAATATAATTTATCATCTTTATTTTATCATCACAGCCTTCTTTGAACTTACAGTATCACCTTATTTAATTAAATACTCCTTTTTGTATGACAAAGGCCAAGATTTTATGACTATATCATAAAGACAAAATGACCTCTGCTGAATGAGGTAAGGACAACCTCCTGGGGCAATTTTAGGCCACCTAAGGGTTATAGTTAGGGGTCTGATATTGACTGATGGTGGACACTCAATGGACCACTCACGCTCACACTGGGTTGGTGCGCAGTCCCAAAGACGTTTGTGTTAATTACAATACTCACAAACCTGCAGAGACAGAGGAAATACAGGGTCTGCTTAGGTCTGCTTAGGCTGAGCATCTTCAGCTGATTCCAGATGTTTGTCAAACCTTCAAGTTTCAGGTTTTGTTTGTCTTGGGCAGAAGCCAATGAGAGCTAAGCATCTAACTGTGCCAGAAATAAACGAACAAAAACTGGGTGGGCATCAGAGCTTCTCGCGTTAATTCAATCACAAGCAAAAAATATCTAAGAGGAACGCGTCATAGAGAATAAAAGTAAAATGAAAACACAATTTAATTCACGAGCTGGGTAAGAAGTCACATCATGTATCACAAAAGTCACGCAACACCACTTTGAGTTTACTCTTCCTGCAGAGCTCACTGTGTGGAACAAGGTGCCAAAATGTTCAGTCAGCACCTTGGGTTCAGTTCTTGTCTGGTTAGTGTCATTTCCAGAACCTGAGTTGCAAACTGATGCTGTCTGCCACTAAAACATCATAATGTGAGCTTTGAGAATCTTAATATCAGACTTAGTAAACATTTGAATCCATAATTCAGATCCATCAGTCGTTTGCATATCAGGGAACATTTCAAAGCAGCTGTGACAGATAAAAGTGACACAAATACAATACAAGAGACCATGAATGTGATGCTCTTAATGAATGCCAGAAC